GATTTCAAAATGGAGGTGGTAGTCATTCACCAATCGAGTAGCGCGTCAACTGGATCTGCTATTCGTTTACTGCGGTAACCGGGAGTCAAACTCGATATTAAGGAGTTCTATGTAGAACAACACAGATTAGCAGCGCATAAAACTAGCTGTAGCGATGAAAATCAGATCTTACATCTACCGTAATTAACGTACCATCAAAGTATGCATAAGACATGTTGTTTAAGGTTCACCTTCACCTCCTAGTTGCGAACGGGCCAACCAGTAACCAAAGCACATCAGAAATTAAGGAAGCGAATGCAGTAATCTGTGGTTATAAGCCGTTATGTCCGATCCGCGCAGAGCTGAAACATCGTCATTCTTTCACCTCTTCATTCTCTGTATGTAACACACAACTGTGTGATTCAACCATCCTACCCCATTTTTCCTTCAGTACAATCTAGGAATGTTGATCTGCTACACAAAAGCCAGAGAAAACGGTCAGGCAAGCAGCAATGGACCGAAGAAATGTCGGTGTAAGGTGCCGGTGAAAAATCACGATCTAAGCACATAAATTCGACGGCAGCAAATTAGCTTAACAGACGTGATTTCTGCTTTGTGCGGCTCGTCTGAGAGACAATCAGTTGTCGTGAAGAATTATCTGGGTTCTAGAAGTGGATTTTGCTTGACCATGGTCATCGTTGCCACTCGGTCTTCCAAGAACACTATAGGATAAGGTCAACGTGGAAAGTGGACGAACCGATCGAAGAACACAGAATAATGGAGAGGCGTCGATTTGTACTCGCCACCACGCACCCATAAAGGAGAAATATCGGGTAATGAAAGACAATGACAACAATGACAATGATGATAGTAATAAATATGAGAATATAATGATAATAAAGATGATGGCATGATGGTAGGTGATGTCTACAACAGTCGCAATACTGTCACAGCTTTAAATACGATTTCATATAACCATTCGGTTGAACATTGTTTAAACATGGCGCACCCCCCCCCACATCTCGAATGCCAACCGTGTGACACTGGGTTGGTAACTGGTAACACCGTAAAATTTACGTTGGAAAGAAGACTCAGCAGTGGCAAAAGCCAAGGCTGATTCCTGGGAGAAGTTCGGTGAGGTGTTGGAGTCGAATTTCCAC